ACAGATTTCAAATGTACCTCGGTGTGTGTGCGTTTGAGTGCTCCCTGTCTCTGTTGACTTGAGTTTAGTTTTTGAAGACTCTTGACAGGCTTTATCTAAGAAGCCCTAGCGCATAGGGGGTCCTGGCATTGTGTTTGACACCAAACACCTGTTGCCGTCTTTGATGTGCTGGCGCCCCCCCCTGCTGAGAGAGAGGGGGCCGACTCCTCAAATGCAAATACAAGATGGAAGGAAGAGGACAGGTAAGGTGCACAAGAGAGTGGAAGTCTTATAAAAATTTGATTGATGTTCCCTCAATATTGGGGCTGAATCTTCCTTACTTTCAGGTCTAAGCTCAAAAGCTTTTGCTGCTTTCCATACGGCAAGTGGTCTTGACTGTGTGTGTGTGTGTGTGTGTAGAGCCACTTTCACCATTTGTATTCCTATATATACATATCAGTGAGATGAAAATGGTCTGTGCATCCCACTGTACATTCATTTTGACATTTATGTCCAATTTTGTGTGTGTGTGTGTGTGTGTGTGTGTGTCTGTCTGAATGTGTGTATAATGAGCACTTCAGTGTGACAGAGGTGAGTGTAACACACATGTCTCTCTCCCTGCCAGGTGACAGGGGCTGTTGTCCTCTGAAGGTCAGACCTTGTCCTCCAATGATAGACCAGCACTAAATGTGTGTGTGTGTGTGTGTGTGTGTGTGTGTGTGTGTGTGCGTATATGTGTGTGTGGTGTGTGTGTATATGTGCGACCCCATTCTGTTGTTCCAGGCCAGCGTATCTCTACTGAGAGAACAAGATGAGACCCAGGGAAGGCCAGGGCAACTGTTATATTCTTTTATTTATTCTATCACACAGACAACTTTGTGTATTAACAGACGGTGCATTTGTATGCACCTGTGTACAAGTCTTTTATGTCCACGGACATGCGTGTGTGTGTGTGTGTGTGTGTGTGTGTGTGTGTGTGTGTGTGTGTGTGTGTGTGTGTGTGTGTGTGTGTGTGTGTGTGTGTTGGCCACTGTGTGATGAAGTGTTTATATGATAAACACAAGGCAAGCTTGAGAGGAATTCTGATCAGGGGCTTTGCAACAGTTGTTATGGAAACAGCATTAGGCAGTTGTATTAGCCAGTGGAGGTAATATAAAGGCTGTTGGAAGTAACACACAGTGGGGAGCAAAGCAGTTTGGTAATATAATACAAACTAAACATTATTGCTCTGGTTTACAATGGACTTGATGGATTTTTCTTGTGGGGCTGGAACAGAACAAAATGATCCTTGTCATCACTCATTGTGTGGGCTCTCTCTGTTGAAAGCTACACATTATAATCAGCCAGGTTAGAGGAACAAAGTGCAAACAAGACACTATTGGTATGATTTACAACAGTCACATCATTCATGTCAGCTTAACCCTCAACAAAAGCCATTCTTAATTCAGCTTTCTCTTCAGAAAAGCAGCATCCATGACATTGGAGATTTTAGAGGTCACTCAGGACTGTTAACGGCCATGGTTCTGGGTGACCGTTCCTGCCACAGTCCTGGTGTTTGATTATTGCAGTTCAAATCAAATGATATGGGTTCAGCATAAAATTGTCATTGTTGGCCTAATTGACATGACGAGCATTTGAGGAGACATGGTTTAAAATAGACCATGGTCAATAAAATGTGGGTTGACCAAATGCCTGAGATGGCTGTGGTCTGCAAAAGACGGGAGGCAATTTTAGATAGAGGGTCTATCAACGTCAGATCCCGGGTTTGTTCTAGGAGGTAGAGAACTGGCGGAGGTGCTCAGGAAGAAATTACACAATCAATAGACCTCCCGCGTTAATGTTAATGCAGATCTCATATATGTATACAAGATTTACTATGGGCAAGGAGAAAAGAATAAAGGATTTTGTAGTTGAAAAAGACACTTTGAGTTTGCAACCTCTTCGTACAGCCAAAATAAACTGTTCAGTGCAAAAAGATTTTCTTGGTGAGATCCAGCGATGCCTTCATCTGAGGCCCTTCGAATAGATGTGACAGTTCCAGTTTACAGACAACTATGTTTCCCCAGATCTCTGTCGGGGTGATGCTCATCATTAGACTGCAAAATGTGAATGCACACAAACACACACACACACACACACACACACACACACACACACATTCACAAGCACACACACGATAGCCTGTGGCTAAACCCTATAACGGAGTCTCTCTGGGGAAAGCTCTTGGATAAGTCTGTTGCACTGTAAGAGACCCCCCACTCCTCTGGAAATCTCCCTGAGGCCTTTGTGAGTGTTTGTGAATGTGTGTGTGTGTTTGTCCGTCTCATTTTCTGTACATGCCACCAGTTTCTTGGAGGGAGATGGTCTCAGTGATGCGTGAGTGGGAGGCTGATTTCCCCAACTGCACCGCTCGCTCCAATCTAACTTCCCACTCATACTCTCTGCTTTGTTATATATTTCTTAAGTAACTCTCTCTCTCTCTTTCTCTCACTTTCTCTCATACAGACAGACAGGCATAGGTGTGTGTCTGTGTCTGTGCTTTCAGCTAGAGCTGTCGTAATGCATTATTACATAGACTCACACAGACATGCAGAACGTCTGGGTTTCTAGAGATGGATATTTCTCCCATTCAAAGTGTCTGCCACGGCTAACAAACACACACACATGCACAGTGTTCCTAAAGGGTCAGTGTGTCGCAAGGCACGCTCATAGTGCTCTATCACTGGCTGCCATTGGGACAGAAACTGTGACTTCCGGAGGATCGACCTTCACCATCTCACTTCTGTCACTCACATTGGCGTGTGTGTGTGTTATGGCTAGGGAGGGAGCAGCAGTGTGTGTCTGCAGTGAGAGTGTGTCTATGCGTGTGTGGGTGTGTTGCAGAGTGTGTGTCAGGCTGCCATTTCAGCTGACTCTTCTGTTTCTGGCTTTTTAATGGCTCTTATGGGGCAGGCCTTTAATTGCAAGTCTCTCTCCCTCCTCCTTAATCCTCCCATCCTTCTGTCTCTCCCAGACCCTCGTCTCCTCTTTTTTTCTCCTCTCTGCTACCGCCTCTCTCAGGCCGGCAGTCACTAGGGGAGCCCAAGTGCCTGGCCTGGGCTGTGGAGGCCGTATAGGATATTGACTTGCTGCGGAGTGGTTTGGGAGGAGGAGAGGTGACTGCCTGTCACAGCTAATGAATAGATGCATAAATGAATGAGGCACTCCTGTGTGTGTGTGTGTGTGTGTGTGTGTGTGTGTGTGTGTGTGTGTGTGTGTGTGTGTGTGTGTGTGTGTGTGTGTGTGTGTGTGTGTGCTCCTATCTATAGCTAAAAAGTGGTATGTCCCTCAGACAGACAGACATTAACAGTGGCCAGCTTGATCGTGATAATTATTATATGGACACATATGTGTTTTCAATTATAAAATTATTACATTATTCAAATTAATCTAAAAGCCTAGTCTATACAATCTTCGAAAATATACATTTCACCATCATACTGTAGGTGTGGCAGAGTAACTTCACTTTCACTTATTCCAAAGTGTGTGTGTGTGTGTGTGTGTGTGTGTGTGTGTGTGTGTGTGTGTGTGTGTGTGTGTGTGTGTGTGTGTGTGTGTGTGTGTGTGTGTGTGTGTGGGATGGCGCCCCTCTAGTCTTTGCTGAGAGATGTTTTAAGCTGCAAAGCATCATCAACACTCTTCATTAGAACACAATACATACCAAATAAAATCCCCCAAACCGTGTTGGTTTTGGGCAGGTGTACTTTTATCAAATGAGCAAATAGTTCCCGTTTATTATGGAATAGTATTTTGTTTGAGATGGCCATCCCTGACGTAAATGGAGGTTCAGGCAGTAGGGGGTTGGGACGTGTGGATCGAATGGCGGATACTTAGAAAAACAATCCGGTTAAGTGCCAGCACCCTCCAGCTGCTCTCTCTTTTCGTCCCTCCTTGCCTGCCTTCCCCTCTTCCTTTGTCCCTCCATCTCATCTGATCGGTTTGGAGCTTGAGTGCTCTCTTGCCAAACTGGGACAAATACCGTAAAACACATACACACACATAAATAGTTAGAGGGGAAGTGGAGGTCTGGAGAGGAGACTGTTGATCTGAGAGGGCAGATGAAGGAGTGCTTGGAGTGTTGATGCCTTCTTCGCTATTGCTTTGTGCCACATTTCAAACCCTGATTGCCTTAAGAGGACAATTTACATTTCATAGACTTTCACAACAAGTGGGTGAGATGGGAGTTGGAGAAAGGGGGAGAGACAATGATATTTCAAGGAGGAAGCCAGGGGTGCGAGAGTTCACCTTGCAAAGGAAAAAGGAGCCTTTACCTACTAAACAGTAGGAGATACAAACAATAATTTATTTTGGCTTTCTCTCTCTCTCTCTCTCTCTCTCTCTCGCTCTCTCTCTCTCTCTCTCTCTCTCTCTCTCTCTCTCTCTCTCTCTCTCTCTCTCTCTCTCTCTGTGTATGGACGTTCCGCTTCGTCTTACTCTCGATGGAATGCATCTGTATGATTTGAACTTTTTTTTCCTTATTGTTCATGTGAGTGTGGTTGAAGGATAGAAATAGCAGTGAGAGGTGAGGAGAGCTGATGGGATGAAAAGTGCGCCGCAGGAAATTAGGAATCAAGTTAGGAGCAGGCTTTATCCGACGGGAAACTTTGAAACTGCAAAGAACAAGAAAACTTTTCCTATCAGCGCACTCTCTTTATGGATGCAGCCCTGGTGTGTGTTTGTGTGTCTGTGTGTGTATTTAGGAGATAGCTTTTCCTCCCCAGCGGAGGGAGACATCGGTGTGTCGGTGAGCGTGATTGGTTGTTGGCCCTGAGGGTCTGTCCTCTATATCTGTCTCCTGACTGGCTGCTCTGTGACCAATCAGGTGCCCAGGACTCACTGTGGCAATCAGATAGTGACACACTCTCTGTGGGCATCAGCAGGTCATCTGGAAATACCCGTTATGTTTTATCTCCCTGTGACACACACACCTACACACATTCATACTCACACCAATATAACTTTTCTGTGTTGTCTTTGTCTAGGAGATTGCTGCATATCTCATCACTTTTGAGAAACATGATGAGTGGCTGACGACATCGCCAAAAACCAGGTGAGAATAGCACCGACAGTGGTTTCCATAGACACACACACGCACACCATCACATACAGACACGTGTACAATCACAGTATCGCTTAATCAGCCAGTGACTCACGTCGGTTTAATCTCAACGACTGAGTGCCTGTGTTTGATTAAAAGATTAGTGATGTACGTCGACAGTCTCCAAAGGGTCCTGCTGACGGCCTACTCTTCATGTAGAGAACGCTCTAGAACATGGCTGGACTGTAAAGCACAGAGTCAGCTAGAAATGGAGTATTAATGAATGTAAATGTATTAGGATAAGTGATGTATAATTCAGATATTGGAAGGTGACAGGGGGTTTAAAAGGAGGGGGAGTAAATTCATATAAAATGTGGTGTGAAAAGGGATTCATATACCAGCACTGAATATTCATCAATCCGTTTTAACCATTGGTAGCTCCTTCTTGGGAGAGGTTAAATTACCAGGAAGGTAATGAGAGGGTTAAGAAAAATAGTAAAGGCGCAATTTTTATTGTTAATAAATCGTTTTTTTTTTATTTTTTTTAGATAAATAAAACATAAAAGAAAAGAGAAAGAAAAAGTAAAGTAGGGGAAGAGGTACCCCCCCGGCCCCATCTGTGATTACTGACACTGCTGAATGCCCGGGGTGATGCCTCTGCGCTCCCATTGTGCGGACTGAAGGACTCTTCTCAGGAGCAGCCTGAGGCCAGCAGCACAGTTTAGGTTGTGGATGGATTTGTCATTGATTGGTTGTGCTGCCGTATAGCCTCAGCCCCCCAGCGGCAACAGCAGCAGTCATATTGGTGTTATTGAGCAGCAGTTAGATATAATCCCATTTACACATGACACAAGGCACGATTAGGACAGATTACACCTAATCCCATCAGATGGAGGGGGGCTCAGCATACGGAGCTACTGACATTACGTGTGCGCTTGGATGTGCCTGTACGTGTGTGTGTGTGTGCTTTTATGCCAATGTGCACATGTGTTTGCACAATTGTGGGAGAGGTGAGGGTGTTGGGGGGTATTAAGATAACAACCAATGACCTTCATTTCTCCCTTCACTGAAATACCTCATCAGTAAGTAATGACTGTTACCTCCTCTCTCCCTCTCCTCTCACTTTGCTCATGTACTCCTCCTTCTCTCCTCCCTTTACCGGACTCACTCACTCGCCCACTCTGTCTCTTTATCTTGCTGTCTTTTTCCCCCCCTCTCTCCTCCCCTTGCCTTCTCTGCTTTCGCTCTGCTACACAGTGTAACCGTGGAAAAGCTTTTTATATCCCACACATCACAGCCCAGTTACAATCAATAGCATTTATGTCTGCTTGAATCGGAGGGTTTGCAAAGAACATGAACATCGTCCAAGTGTGCGTACCTCTATGCACACACACACACACACGTGAACATTTGTGTATTTCTCATACACGACCACACACACATATGCACACTTCTGATCCCATCCATCTTCTCCATAACATAATTAGAATCAGCCGCTCTGTGATGACTCACACTGCTTGAAAGGCCAACTAAACTCGGCTTTGATCAGAGGGTGGGGGTCTCCACTCGGCTAAGAAACTGGCAGGCTCACCCCAAACAGAGCAGATTTAAGGTGTCAAAGAAAATAAGCTCAAAGTAAATTCAATTTCAATACACACAGTGTTCAGAGTAAATTGCAATCATCTCAGTCCATATAGACGTGTCTACATCATATTCTAGAAAAGGTGGGAGGTGAGAAAACAAAAGAAAAGGAAGATAGAGATAAGTAAAAAGGAGTGTAAAATGAAGGAACGGATGAAGCTGTAAAGAGAAAATAAAGCAACAGCAAAATAAGAGGGTTACAACCTGCAGGTTTATGGGTAAAACAAGGAGTGTAACAGTGTGTGTGGTTGTGGTGTGCGTGCATGCTCACACGTTAGAGAGAGAGCACTCGTGAGTATATGTTATTTTATTGATTAACGTGCGTGTTCTCTCTCTGTTGTCACGAGATAAGGCAGAAGAGCATTTTTTTCTCCACCTACACAGAAAAATACACACACAGACACACTTAAGGTTTTAGAAGTGTGATGATTGATTGCTGAGCAGCAGGTTTGACATTGAGCTCAAAGAACACACAGCAGGAGTTCCTGCCTTCCCTGACATCACTATAGCGTCTCTGTCTGTATATGTATGGCTCCTGGTGTGTGTGTTTCTCTGTGTGTATTTGTTTGTGTGCACACGTATATTAATCCCACTAGGTGTATATGAAATGGGGGCATAGAGGCCAATGTTAGTGCTGGGCTGATAAATCACCCTACTGAAATATTAACACGTAGAAGTGTGAGTCTATGTAAGAAGGCAGCTAAATTGACTGTAGGAGACTAACATTCATTCATATCATCCATATTTGTTAATATTTTATATTGGTATTTGGTATGTTGTCAGTCAGAAGTCTTTGCACCTACTCTGGACAATCAACAGTGTGACTTTCTGTCGTGCTAACTCTTCACCCTGTCCTCCATTAGGCCTCAAAATGGCTCTATGATCCTCTACAATCGTAAGAAGGTGAAGTACAGGAAGGATGGCTACTGCTGGAAAAAAAGGAAAGACGGGAAGACCACCAGAGAGGATCACATGAAACTCAAAGTCCAGGGAGTAGAGGTGAGATGTTTGGCGCTTGGTAGGGTTTCACTGCCAACCTACTTACTAACTTACTCTACTTCACTCTTGAGGAGACACATACAGGCAACACAAACACAAACCCACATGCTGAGGCTTTAGGCTTAGCTGTTAGCTGAGTGCAAGCGGTGCCCCTCTTTCTCTGGCTTCCTTACTGCTTGTGCCCCTTCCCCTCCCTCTCCCCTTCTCCCTCTCTTTGTGAAGGATAAGAGTGTGTTTGGCCTGTGGCCAGGAATGATGTCAATGCCTCCTTCAGCAGAACAGAGAGGGGTATCGATCCAGTCTCAAGGCAGCGTCTGTGTGTGAGCGAGTATGTGTGTTTGTGTGTGCGTGTGGGTGTGGCCAAGTCACATCAGCCAGCTCAAAAATTGATTGTTCAGCAGGAATATACCAAGAGGTGAGTGGAGTGAGCATGCATGTGTCAAAAAGAAAAAAATAGGTAGAAGGGAGAGCGATGGAGAGACAACAATGAGACACATGGATGTTTGCAAAGGGCTCAACAGTTTTGCATCAAGGGTGAGACGGAGACAGGTGAAAGAGACACAGAGGTAAAGGGAATAATTGAGATCAAGTATTCCCATCTGCACTTCTATTATTCACAACCCCACACTTGCATTGACATTCATATCTTGTGCAATTTTCTGCAATCGTGCATGAATACACATACTCACATACATATACAAAGTGTTTCTTCGCTGGTAGTTGCTCAGTAATTGTTTGTGTCACGTCTTCCCAGGACCCTCCAAAGCAAGCAGTGTGTAGAGCAAGGGGCGGGAATGGGTAGGAGGGCAAGATGAGCAGAGGGGGTGAAGGAGGATGGAGAGAGACAGGAAGCAGGGGAGAAAAACATAACCCTGGATGTAGAGCCTCCTCATATTGAATGGAAATATATGGAGATGCTCTCTGCCTTTGGCAAAACACACTTTAGATAGAGGGCGGGCTACTTCTGAGAAGAGGCAAAATGGATAGAAAATATAAGTTTACACAAGTGTTCATGAGACAGAAAACCGGACAAGTTGTAAGTCTTGATTATATACACACTGATTACTGAGCATTTGTGTTTGTGTGTGCAATTTTGTCTTTAACAAAAACACTTTTTGTGTGTGGGTGAGAGAGAGAGAGATCCTTTATTTTATATTTAAGTTCTTTGTTCAGTTCCGTTGAAGTACATCCGGTCAAGAAATTCAGCTTACTTTGTTAAATAAAAAAAATAATTGTAATATTTTTGAACTTAAGGTGTCAAAGAAAGTATTTTGGTATTGGTTCATGCATTTTGTTGACAGTGGTACTGAAATTACTTTCAACCTGCACCAAACACAAATATAGACTTTTAAATTGTTTGAATCACTAAGGAAACACTAAATTGTTTGCATTCACACGTTTGGTCTATTTTCACACACACTTACACACCACACTAATTTGTACATGTAAGCATTCTCTGCTAGATGGAGTCCATTCTGAACTTCCTCTTCATCTTGTCCACCTTGACTGACACCTTGTACTTCCCTCACTTTCTCCTCCTCTTCTTTGTCCCCGTCACTGTTACTGATCGCTCTTGCAGTGTTTTTGTGAATTCCTAGTGGATAATGTCCAGTCTTCTTGAGGAAGTAAATTTCATAATCTTGTGCTGTATTTGCCAACATTAGATTTATAGCATTTTAGAAAAGACATTAGGAAAAAAATGCATACAGCATGTTTGCAATTTAGTTTTAGCGCCGCAATCAATACAGCCTAAGTGGGTATAACCGAAGTTATCCTCTCCTGTTCTCTCATTCACTGTCCTCTCCTCCTCTCCTTTACACTTTTTGTTTCGCTTCCTCCATTTTTCCTTTTCTCGTCTACCCCCGCAATCTCCTCTCCTCACCTCTCCTCTCCTCTCCTCTCCTCTCCTCTCCTCTCCTCTCTCTAGTGTCTGTATGGCTGCTACGTCCACTCCTCCATCATCCCCACCTTCCATCGTAGATGCTATTGGCTGCTGCAGGTAAGCCCACCCCCCTTTCCCACCTTGCCTTCCGTCACTTATTCATACATATACCAAACAAGACTTGGACAGCATTGATAGTGGGGTGATAATCTGTTATTAATTGTCATATATGCCTGCATGTCTTTGTAATTGCAGGTATTTAGCTCCACAGTATGACCCATCTTATTGCTATAATTCCTTATTCTTTACAAACTGGGCAACCAGAACATATATTATCAGTGTTACACACAAGTTTTGTCTGTTAAACCGTCCATTTCCCAAACAAAACACTAAGCTAAACCATCAAATAGCAATAAAAGCAATCATTCTCTAAATTAATGAGGCATACACAGTGAAATTACTCACAAAGCTTGGGTCATAATAAAATTGGATGTTTTTTGGCTGAGTGGACAGAAACACACAGTGTAAAACCACTGGAATATACCTACAATATGCTAGTCTATATCGAGCCCCTGACTCACAATACTCAGAGCTAGCATCAAGGTCTCAGACCCTAATCTCCACGTGGTCCTCTCGAAGAAAAAACCCTGGAGCTACAAACAACATGCACAACATGCTCAAACCAACACACACATGCAGAGATGTCCCATGTGTATAAAAGGATGTTGTTTTCATAGAGATGTTGGACTCGCTCTACTGCTCGTGTGAAAGACAACAGAGCAGGTTTTACTCACACAAACTCACTCACTCGCACACACACGCACATGTCTCTTCTGCTACTGGGCATCTGAGACTCAATCACCAGGACCTCATCATCTTTAAATGACATGTTACATGATGAATCTTAAAAACAATTACATTTACACTGCCTCTCTCTTCATCCTTCTCTGTTCATTTTCGAGAAAATATTGAATAACCGTTTATGTTCATTTAAAACATTGAAATACATGGCATTATTTCCTGTATAATTTGTCACAAGAAATGTACAAGGACAGCCACCAGCTGCAAATTTAATAAGCCCTCACCCAATATATTTTCTTTTTCGGCATGGCCAGCTAGTTTGATATGTGCATTCTGAAATTCCGAAGGGAAATTCAACTTCCTTCATCTGAGAAGTGCCATTGTCTGCTCTTTGCGCCATTATCGAAACACATCAGTGACTGTGATCATAAATCAGTGTGTGACTGCCGTAGCATTGCACAGTGTGGTGCTGGAGCAGCATCCTCTTTTGGAGAGAAAAGTGTTCCACCTCAGCAGGTCCTCCTCCTCACCTGAGTCTGTCTACTGAATCTTTCATCAAGAGAAGCTTCTCTCCTTTTCACTCTTTTCTCTCTCTCTTTCTCTCTCTCTCTCTCTCTCTCTCTCTCTCTCTCGCTTGCTCGCTCTCTCACACACACACACACACACACACACACACACACACACACACACACACACACACACACACACACACACACACACAACACATACGCATGTGGAAGCACCTGTTGAATCATTCATGCATTAGACATTCCATAGGTCTGCTGGTGGCCTACAGTATAGTGGTACTACTGTGAACCGCACACACACACACACACACACGTAGACACTTCTGCAGCCTCTGCAGGGTCAGAGAGAGAGAGAGAGTGATGAGTGGGCTCGAGCTGTTAAATCTTTTATAGGCAGGTGAGAGAATCTTATCTGACACGCTATGTCCAACCTTCTCCATGACCTCCACGTTCTCTCCTGCTTCTCTTTCTCTATTGCCTCTGCATCTTTAAATAGACTGTCATTTTATGTTGTATGTTGGTAAGGACATTACAATGAATCAATGAATAAATGCCTTGTTAAACTAAAACAAGGTGCGTACATGTATCTGTGTGTGTGTGTGTGTGTGTCCCTGTGCTGTAGAATCCAGACATTGTGCTTGTGCACTACTTGAATGTACCGGCAGTGGACGATAGCGGGAAGCCATGTGGTCCTGTCCTCTGCTCCATCAATACAGACAGGAAGGAGTGGGCCAAGTGGAGCAAGGAAGAGCTCATTGGACAACTCAAACCCATGTGTGAGTTAGCATTATCGTCACTCAGCACCTCCTGCTCTCATTTTTCCTCAACCCGAGGATGTAAGTCCCCTTGGGTCAGTGAGGAAAACACATTATGCCGTGTAGTATTTCTTCAAAATAATCTGTAGGAAAGTGAAACAAAGGTTATCGGGTTGACTGGCTTGCTTTTCGGCAGCAGATGGGACACAGTCTAAAGATGGTCCATTACATATCATATATGATATGAAAATGTCCTTGCTGCATCATGGAACTATGATTCTCATTGAGATGAGACTGTTGGTAAAATATAACTTGGTATAGCAAAATGCAACAACTGGACTCGTCAAAAGAAATGCGTGGGCCTGGAGAGGGGCTATTTACTAACTTTATAAAGTAGTGGTATATTTCTGATAATACATGCTGTTAAAGAGTTAACAGTGTTGTTCATTCTATTCATCAAGGCTTTATACAGATTTGTTGTTTTTGATGGCTACATCAGTCAGCGCCATGCTGCCACCTAGAGGGAGATACACATTTCATCAAGGAAAGGGAGGATGACACAGGTGCTAGAAATATCCAACATGTATTATTCATAAATGGGCATCAAGGAGTAGATCATTTCAGTACACACAAAGTATTTTCATATAAAATAACGAAAATCCTAAAATAAATGTATTCCAATAAAATACAAAATATTTGTACCAGCAAATTTTGCATTTAAAATATAGGAAAAACTTTGGCTTTGTATCAAAAAGAACATTTTCATTACATATGAATGACATCACACGTTACGCCTACGTATAATCATATATCTGTATATAGAATAAAAAACAGTTGTACACAGGTAATTAAAAATACATTTCTGTACATCAAGTTCTACACAGCAAAATTAATGAAAAGATAAATAGTAAATTAGTGATCAGACCTCCCTTAATAAGGTTATCATGAAAATACAATATCCCAAACTCCCTTTTCCTATAAGTAGCTACTCGACTGATGAGTTAACTTAATTAACACTAGCCTAGCCAGAATGATAGCATCATTAGCATGTTAGCAGTGATTGCTAGCTTTATATTATAACCATCGTCATGTATATATACAATAGGCTATGTAGCCAGATCCTGACATACATTTTACATCAAGCTATTTGATCTGTCAGGCTGAGATGAATACTTACCTTGACAGACAATCCGTTGAACTTGAAGATCTAAAAACTGAACTGAACTTTTGAACAGTTTTTTGAATCGTGGAGAAAGTATTTTGAGTAACGCTATTTTAAATCCCAAATTACTCTACTCTATTAGATTTTCTATTGGCCCTATGAAAAGTAATTGAAATACGTATTTCAAATAAAAGTAATAGAACTGCCCATCTTCCCAGTACACACACAATCTCTCCCTTCTTTTCATCTGGTTTGGAAGGGCAAATCAGGAGAGCCACCCAAAACTAAGTGGCTCGTTGACTTAAGTAGCACCTCAAATCTACCTCTCACCACTGAATCATATTCCCACTCGCTTTTCCACCTGCCCTAATTTGGTCAGATCTCTGTTTTACCCTTTCCTAGCGCTTCCCTCTTAATCACTTGCTTCATCCATCTGTGCTCAAAGTTCTTTTTTTGGCCTTTAAGTTTGTTGGTTGATTGATTACTTCAATCTGAAAATGCTTCAGCTAAATCCCCAAAATGTAAATTAAGTCTTTTTAATTTAGAAACTGAAAATACCTTCAGAAGTGATGGTTGACATGCCTTTCAATATACATTCATATTGCACATTTTGCATTTATGTATTTAACATTTTCAAAACTCAAGATTATCAACCTGTGTTATACGGGTATTCATGATATCATTATTTTCAGTGTACATTTTGAACACTGGAGGGCACCCTTACACACTATCAAATGTTTGAGGTAATGCCACGATAATATCAAGATTGATCTGAGAAAATGAAAGGACATAAAAGAAATATGTATGCCCTTATATGCTGTTTCTGTTGTTTAAATGTCTCTTCCAACAGGTGCTGGAAGCAGCCTGCATCAAAAATGTTCCAGTGTCAAGCAGCGCATCATCTCATCCAAGCAGGAGTCAGGAACAGCAGCGGGAGGTGGAGGTGCAGCAGGTACGGGTGTTGCGGCAGGCCAGAGAGCTGAGGAAGCAGATGGCACAGAGGTTCAGAACAGCGATGTGTCAGAGGGCCAGACAGAGCCCAGTCCTGGAGGGGGCAGGAGTAGAGCGGGTGGAGGAGAGAGGAGGAATGGCAGGATAAACAACAAACCATCCCTACTCCCACAGAGCAGCATGGAAGTGTCCTCATCTACCTCCACCAACCAGGTGGAGGTCCCTGACACCACCCAGAGCTCCCCATTGTCAATCACCAGCGACATGGCTGATAGTCCCGCTCTGGCTGTTGGGGCAGGCTTGACACAGAGCACAGCTGTGTTCATGTCTGAGGTCACCACGCTGACTGGTGATTCGGTGTACTCTGCAGGCCACACCCACTTGCTGGCATCCACCCATGAAAGCCCCACCGCTAGCATCCTTTTGGCCGTCGCCCCTGAAAACCAGAGGTTTGCTTCGTTTCCGGGTGGTGTGGGCTTAGGGGAGGCCGGAGAGTTGGTTCTGTCTAGCTCTTTAGACTCTGGTGGAGGAGTCAGCATTCCTGAGACCACCATGAACTTTGATCCTGATTGCTTCCTCAACAATCCCAAGCAGGGCCAGACGTATGGAGGAGGTGGAGGGAAGGCTGAGGGATGTAACGCCGATCATGGAGGACTCCACGGCTCCTCCAACGGCTTCATTTACAACCCAGCCCTTGTTAACAACATTAAGACGGAACCTACACCCTTGGAGCCTCCGCTGGCCGCTCAGAGCAGCTATGTAGGGGAAGGGACGGGCCTCAGTCCCAGCACCACCCTGGAGCAGATGGACTTCAGTGCTGTGATGTCATCGTCCTGTGTCCCAAATCTGAGCCAGCCTGCACACCACCCCTCCCCCAGCCTCTTCCTCCAGGCCTCCCCCCAGGCAAACCAGCCCTCAAAGATGCAGACCAATGGTACTGAGGCCACACAGGAACCAGGCAAGGCCCAAGCTTTTATCGGCCTGCCCACGGTACAAACAGACATACCAGTCACCAATGGAGACCCGCATACAAACCTCCACCAAGCCAGCCCAAACCTGCAGGGGCTGTGTGGAAGGAATAGAGAAGAAGCAGCTATGGGCTCTTTTCCTCTGAAACCACAGGATACGACCTCCAAGCAGTCAGGCAGCAGGGGACATCAAGAGGTAGGAGGCCTAGATAAGACTTCTCAGAATGGAGGGGAGTTGCTTCTCAAGTCCGGAGATCCTCACGTTGCCTACACAAGTGTTGACACCGAACACTACCCGCAACCCACTGATGACAATGGAGGAGGAGAAGAGGGAAGAGGTTGTGGAGGACTACGGGAAAACGCAATTCTCTGTAATGGGGTTAGCTTGTCAGGGGCAAATAGTTCTGTGGTGGCCAATAGCCAGTCAATAGCTGCTGGTACAAGCATCGAGGGGGCACTTTATAGCTCTCCTCTTCCTCAGCAAGGGGTGGGGGCATCAACTACAACAGCAGGGGCAGGAGCAGCCATTAGTCTGGAAGGCTTTGAGGCTTCCTTTGGAAGCCAATTCTCTGATCTTATCAATGATTTCATCTCAGTTGAGGGGTCTGGAGGTGGGGTGGGGGCAGCTGTGACCGGGGTTCTAATGCCTCAGGAGGGGGCGGCAGGAGAGGAGCGGGGCACGGGAGCAGGCCACCTGCAGGGCTCTGAGGTGGAGCAGGGAGCTCTGGGACTGCTCCAGGAGACTGGGAGGCTGTTTGGTGTGACAGACTACTCCCCAGAGTGGTCTTACCCAGAGGTTAGTAAACCGCACGTGATTATCATTCATTACTTATTCATCATTGTTCGCTACAGGAAAATCAGTCCCCACCACCACATGATTGACTTACTGATGATAAACGCTGAAATCACGTTAGTACTTGTACTAAGACCGCCAGCCTGGCTGTGTGGTCATTAAGGACTATCTCAGACTCAGCTGATTGGATTTTGATGAAATTTCAATATTACAGTGATTTCGCTGGGTGGCCTCATTAATTTACCCATGTAACACTTATAATATCCCATACACCAGTTCTGTCATTGAATCATGATGAAACTTGTGGAAACACAGCAACTATTAGTCAAAAATAACTAATTTCACTAACTGTATTCTATGTCTCATGAGAGCTCATCCCAAGATGTGCAGCATTCAGCAGATTTTTTTCCAGGATCATCAGTGTTACATCATACTGTTTATTCCAGTGTTTTGGGTTTCTTAAAAAGAAGCACTGTTTAGCTTCAAGGCTCAAAGGGAGATGGTATAGTTTTAAGAAATAACTAAAAAAGTGCATTACTTCACAACTCAATATTTTGGGGAGACAATATGCTATTTATGTTTTATTTATAGCTACACTGCATAAAAACACATGGCAGTGTTGTTCAGATTATTCAAACATGTATGTGAGGAGAAAACCTCCCTCTAGGGGCTGCTACAGGCTTGTTAGACTCATAGATTTGTCATTAGAAAAATAATAACCACTTAGTAAACGGGGCCATTACTAATATCTATTATATACATGTATATATACAGTATATATTCATATAATGGAAAACTTAAAAGTATAGGCCACTGTGTCTCTGAGGATTATTTTTACCACGGATGTAATCAGGGTGTTTTTAAAGAAACACGCTACACAATGTTGTTAGATTGAAGCCTCTGTTTGTGTGCTACAGGGTGGAGTGAAGGTGCTTATCACAGGTCCGTGGTTGGAGTCGAGCAGTGAGTACAGCTGTCTCTTTGATCACATCAGTGTCCCTGCTGCACTCATCCAGCCTGGGGTGCTGCGCTGCTACTGCCCAGGTAACACATATGTGTATGCATGCACCATCACGCACAAACAATATATTTTTTTATTGAAATACAAACCTAGCCCCGACTGCCATTCCACTAAACCCTATAATGAGGCTTTTTTTTTCTTCAGCAAGATAGAATCTTAATATGTTGGCAGCACAGCCTTTTAAGAGGTACAGTCCCACAAATGAGGATCATACAAACAAGAGTAGGGAGGGACACTGTCTGGCAAGAGCAAACACATTTATTTTGGATTGTCTAGTAAATGATGGATGACTCACATCCTGCTACATTAAGTCTGATTGAGGGGCAACTGCGAGACAAAGTCTTGTTTAGTCAGACGTTGGCAAAAACAATTTTTGACATGGTACAATGGATTACAGACGGTCCTTAAATTATTCTTTGAGGAGAGATCAATCTCAGCACAAAGACTGATTTACTAATTCATTACATTATGACTGTTTCCAGCACATGACACAGGACTGGTGATGCTGCAGGTAGCTATGGGCGGTGATGTCATCTCTTCCTCTGTGGTGTTCGAATACAAGGCACGTGACCTTCCTGCCCTGCCATCTTCTCAGCACGATTGGCTGTCCCTCGATGGTGAGACTGTTGTTTTATTTTCTTTCACTACATATAGAGATGCACAGTTACACTCTTATTGTTTATTCAATAAAGTGCACAAACCATGAACAAAACGAGACATGTACACAGCTGTTTCATTGTGTGCCTGGAGAGATGAGTGTGTGCAAACTATATTTATTTTCTATGTTTGAGGTCATGCATTGGGACGGCACGGTGGTGTGATGACTTTGAGAGAACCTTTTAATTTGTTTCTATTTGTGTGTGTGGCTGTCATTATGCTGCTCCGTTTCGTTAGATCCATCCATTGTCTAGCCACAGATGCTATCGTGGCTGTGTGATTTGGCTGAATTGTTTTGTTCTGTGTCAGGGATGCAGCATTTTTTTTCTATTGTCGCCCTCAGCTTGCATGCAGATCAGTCCCCATTTATAAGGTCTTTGTCTTATGGGAATTTGTTGGAGTCTATTCAGCACGTTAGCATATTGGAAAGAAATCTGAATTATTGTATTAGTGCTTTAGCCCATTTTTTCTAGTAACGTTTCAAGGAATCTTATTAAAACGTATCATAGGAAATTGTTATTGTTAAATTGTTTGTTCTTGGAAAAAACAATGTTCTTGTAGCCAGGTTGCATATATGTGCACAGCACACGGGGTTCGCTTCGGTTTGCAATTGCAGCTTGGAAACACGCGCGTCTCCTCAGTGAAGCATGTCCTGTTCCTCTGTGTTCGCCCCCGTCTCCGCGTTGCGCAATGCGGCAATGCGGCTCTACGGTCACAGCGGGCTGGCTGTTTGCTGGAGTGAGGGGCAAGGACATCATGGGACACTCGCGGTCTACTTGACAGCCAAACTGTGCGGCACCAGCGGCAGTGCGCTATGCCGGCTCGTGCACGCGACGCACGGTCTCTTCATTTGACTCTCAACGGGGACGCCGAGAGCCGAACGTGCGCTCTGGTCCTTTGTTTGTCCTCAAATGTTCTTCAGAGGCACATCCCCTCGGGGACAAAATTCCCAATTTAATCGCACATGCGTCATCACATGACAATTCCCTGCTCCAATTCAGTTCGTGTGCAGTTTGTTGTTGAACTGATGATGACCGAGTCATCCTGCAGCTCAGAGTCTGGCGGGCGGATTTGAAGCGTGTCTGCTCACACCACAACTTGGATTCTCTCTCTCTCTCTCTCTCTCTCTCTCTCTCTCTCTCTCTCTCTCTCTCTCTCTCTCTCTCTCTCTCTCTCTCTTTCCCTCTGCACTTAGTTGTGTTTGCTCGATCAGAACAGCTATGTGTGAGTCGCGCGCTTCAAACTAACTGGGTTGAGCAGAAGCGGGAACAAAGAGCCGCAGATAGAGAGACTCGCTTGTTGGGTTCGTAGTTTATTTGATTTTAATCTGATGTTAACTCCAAACGGCACCCTCTTGTTGGCTTCTATGTCTGTGTTGTTTGCTGCGTTGTTTATCACGCTGCTATAGATGGACATACATGTGCCTGTTGTCCAAATGTCCACTTCATAGCTAAAGCCTCGGGCTGCTTTTGCATATCATGTTTTAGTCCATATATTTGAACTATGTGTGGTGCACAGCCTCTGCCGATTTGAGATAATTACGGTAGAAATGCAAAGTCCTCGCATTGTTTGCTAAAGGACCGGTAGAGGCTGCTTGTTTTATGTTGCAGGCCTGATAATTAGAAGCTTGTTTAGCATTGCACGTTGAGCCGTTAATTTCCAGCACCACCAGGAGTGGACAGCTCCACTGGACCGTACAACAACAAAGGCCCACATAATAGCATGTCTATAGGCACAGACATGTGGTTATGTTGTTGATCAACCACAGCTTAAATACAAGACTTTGTGTCGTAAGTGTTCATGTGTATTACTGAAACTTTATCTGTATATGACAAACGTGTTTTTTGAATCTGTTGAATTATTTTCATCTAAAGAACACTTGTGTTTAATTTCTGTAAGACGTTATTAAGAGTTAAGAGTTAGTAAGTTCCCATAGATTTCAATATATATGACCTCAAATTGTATGCAAAACTACTTGGATTCAGTAATAGTTGTAGGTGTGCCTACCTTCATCGTAGTTGGGTCGGATATAGGTGATAGTAAAATAGAAAATACATGTAAATATTATTTTGATTTTCAATAAATGTAGTTTAACACCATTCCTTTTTTTAAATTTTCTCACTGTTCTGTTTTTCTTTTGTTTTAGTTGGTTTGCGATGCTGTCGTCTGTTATTAGACTTTGCTGATGTGACTTCGAACTATGTTTTTCAGAACTTAATTTATTGGATAAGAATCCATTGGGGAGAAAGCATAATGGAATATGGGAACCTTTAACAGACCAGAAATCCTTGTAAGAAAATCCAGTACAACTGCAAGTAATGATCTAACACACTTTGAGGAAACGCTGAATTTATATGCAAGTGCAGGAATATAAAAGCTATGTCACCAGAATACGTACTCTTAATTGTTTTTCACTAGGCTATTTTAATCCATTTACTTAACAGTTAAATTATTAGATTTGCATTTAACCAATATGGTCGAAAATAACTGTTAGTTAAGATATACTTGCAATCAACTGACAAAATTATTAAAATCATGAATTGTCTTTTATTGAATCCTAAAATGACTTTAAAAGAGTTCCTTCGTGTATGTATCCTTCATAACATCAGCCTTGCAGCATTAAAACTCAAGTAGCATAATTAGCTGTTTATTGTAAAATGCAAAATGACATTAAAGTATAGCATAAGTAAATTCAAAAGTAAATTAAAATAGAAAATGGAAAGCCATTTTGAAAGCCATTTTACGGATATATTCAATTAATGTTACAAAATTATTTTTTTCTGTCAAATTCTGGTCTGTTAAAAAAGAGAGATTAATGAAAATCAAATAATCATATTTCTTAGCTTTCTAATTCTATTTGAATTCATGTTTTATTGGAATTTAATTTAATGTAGCTTATATAATTAACCACAGCAAAGTCCTCATAGCAGATGCCAATTCCTGTTGTCTTCTCAAATCATCCTTTTGTGTTTAAAATGCGGCTCCAGAAAACCCTTCTCCTCTTGATTGGCCGAGGGGAAAAGGAGGAGCCTTAGCCTCTTGTTCTTTCTCATGGCTCCACCCTTTCGGCTCATTTTGTGTGCTGCAGATATAAAGAAAGAAAAATGGGATTGAATTGAGAAGAGAGAAAATAGAGCGACTAAGTGGAAGAGCAGCAGGTGGAATGACATAATAGGCACTGCAGCAGAACTGCAGCAGCACTGAAACAAAGGTTCACCCAAACAGCCAAAAGAATTTGCTGTTATATCTAAAATCTCACCTACACATAGACACACAAACCCACAGTTTTCATGCTTTCCAAGTTCCCATTGTTGTTAAGGGGGTTTAATAGATTGGAGGTCAGATGTTCTTCATATGTGCTATCTTCATTCCTGTAGATACCCAGTTCAGGATGTCCATCCTGGAGCGTCTGGAGCAGATGGAACAGAGAATGGCTGAGATAACCAATCAAAACCCCAGTTCAGAAACCATGGCAACCAGGGATGGAGGATTGGAGGGAGGAGGAGCTACTGATCAGCAATCTCAAGTAAGGAAGAAATGGAGTGATTTAGCTTGGGTGAAATTGACAGTAAACAGTGTTAATAGAGCAGTACAGGTGGACAACATTTCTCCAAACAGAACTTTCTGTCATTGATGTTTGATTTCTCACTAAAATGTAAATGCAAAAGCACTCAATGCAATGCAACACTGCAATCTTCAATGTTGACGGTTAAGTAAATCAAACACTGATGGCACAGCACTGTGTATTACATATTTTTTCAAACAAAATTGCTTTGCGTTGGTTAGAGGTCGCTTGGCTGAAAGAATATTTCAAAGGGGGTTCATGACTGAAAAAAAGTTGAGAACCAGTGTAGTAAGTCATTTTCATATATTGCTACGGTGTTGATGTTTTTAGGGCACCCTCCTAAAAGTGTTATTTCTACATAATAGCCTTAGCATGTTCCAGCTTTCACAGTCACAGGCTCTTTCATTTAACACAAGTAATAATTCACTCACTCACATGAAAAAATACCTTCAGTACCAGTAAAATGTACCAGATCGTATACATTGCCATTGTTGTCTACTATTTTTCAGGCATTGTTGGATACTTTGAGCCCACTCTATATGGTTTTATAAATCTCACAGGACATTACGGATAAATGGCAAACCCAATATATTATCCACAACATATTGACTAATGAGGATTTCAGACACAGCCTCTACGGAAATATAAACCCTTTTGTCTCTGATCTTCCAGATTTCTACTGATCAAGGTTCGTTCGAAGGTCGTGTTGTGGTGGTTTGTGAGAAGATGATGTCTCAGCCCTGCTGGGCTTCGTCTAATCAGCTCGTCCACAGCAAGAACTCCAGAGGAATGACCTTACTGCATCTGGCTGCAGCTCAGGGCTATGCAGGGCTCATTCAGACACTCATTCGATGGCGGTGAGTAACACGCAATCATGACACACCGTTGGGAACGCACAGGCTGTCAGTTAATTTCACTTGTGTTGTCTTGCTCTGCAGTACAAAGCATGCAGACAGTATTGACCTCGAGCTAGAGGTGGATCCTCTCAACGTAGACCACTTCTCCTGTACTCCATTGGTGAGTGGTCCACATCAATATTTCTGAAAGATGTTTTAAATGTGTTTCTTTTATTCTGTGCCTGTGTGTGATCTGATTGTTTTTTTGCTTCCACAGATGTGGGCATGCGCTCTGGGCCACACTGAGGCAGCATTGGTGCTTTATCAGTGGGACCCAAGAGCTCTGGCTATTCCTGATTCGCTTGGACGCTTGCCGCTCAATATTGCCCGATCCCGGGGCCACACTCGATTGGCTGAGCTCTTAGAGCAGCTGACTCCCCACGCTCAGAGCCAGTCTGCTGACCCTTGGATGGACAGGTGGAGAGGAGAGTCACAGACCAGCAGAATAACCAACAGCCCTACGTCAAACCCTAACTTAGGTGGGAATGCTATATAGTGGTTTGTCGCCAAGAGCAAATCATTTTTCTTATTTTTAATGGGTCAGTTCAACCAAAACACAAACAAGAAATTGCCATTTAGCCCTAGTGGAATGTAAAACAAAAAAAACGGAAACCACCAGCGAGCTGGAGGTTATGAAGTATCTCTGTTTGACACTTAGGTTAGCTTAGCACGAAGACTGGAATCAGTAAGCCTAACTGTTCCAGCATCTTTGTTTCCCCAGAGCTGAGGAGAGGCAGGACGGAGAGCCAACCAGACAACCGGAATGCGAACTGGAGCCAAACAGGACACCGAGCCCAGCAGGGAACCCAGGGAGAACGGGGAGGCCCACCCCCAGCCAAGAGACTCAAACCCAGCCCCGACACCCAGCAACAGTTAGCTAACTCAACCCCCGGTACCAACACCCTCTCCACCCTCCTCAACGCGTCTCTTAGTCCTAACCCTCAATGCTCTCTCCTCCCCAACACTCTACAAACTCAACCCTCCAACCTTAGCTGTCAGAACGCACCTCCGGCCAGCTCCAGCCCTAATCGACCTCAGCTCCCCAGCCCTCCATTCTCCCACCTGCAGGCCAGGATAGGGGAGTTTGGAGGGGGCAACAGCTGGAGTCCGAGACAGACTCTGGGGCAGCGTAGCCTAGCCAGGAGGATTCTAGGAAAAGAACGACTGGCCATTCACCTGCGCCAAAGGGTGCTGTGTGACAGGGGAGAGGAGACGGAGCTGCTGACCTATCAGGATAACACAGAGGACCTGCAGGTATGGGCAGCAGTTTGTGAGGGGCAGTATTGATCTTGTTTCCTTCACCAAAACAGGACTTTTGTACTTTATGTATTTGACAGTGTATACGTATATCTGTGCCATGTTTTTGACAACATACATGAAACGATACATTAAAAAATCTATGAAAGCAACACTTTGACCCTTAGTGTGAATAAGGCGGAACTCCCATATTACCTCATCAGCTTAAATATAAACAATTAATGATGTATATTGTATTCAAACATAACAGATATGTTACATTCTTAATATAAAAGGCACTATTTGGCTTTAACTATTAGGTACACAGAGTTGAGTATCAGTAGTGTAGGCATAAACATAAATCCCAAAATGAAGTCATTTTTAACTTCAAGTGGATCAGGTGTTATGACCTTGTCAGGTGTAATATGTCATTTCTGCTCTGCGTGTCCTGCAGATGGACATTACGATGCTTGCTGATCACATTGCGGAGGCTTCAACTTGTAGGCTTAAGCAGGAGGAAATGGCAACTGAAACAGACCCCAGGATCAGCGCTGATGTCAAATTACTGTCTGGTTACCTCGGTGAGGTGGAGAGGTGAGTCCACGAATTCCAGATTTTTTAAAGTCATTAAATAGAGTACATCTTTTTAGGTAATAAACTTTTGCTTTCCTTACTGCTTTTCTCCAGGTTTCTAAACTCTCAGACTTCGAGCCCCAAACCAAACTCTCTCTCGGGGCCTGAGGATCAGCAGAGTCCACAGGCTAAAGAAGCCCTACCCTCCCTCTCTGACTGGACCTCCTTCCTCTGTGCAGCTATGAAAGAAGAGCGGTTGAAAAGTGACTCCTGCCTAGCCATGACTGAGGCAGAGCACGGGGAGCTGTATGAGACTATCAGGCATGCTCTACACTCCCTCAGAAAAAACAAGGTATACCTGCTTTCCCCTTAAAAAATACAAAGTTTGCACATGAGATTTTAAATTAATGTAATGCATTTTGTCACCATGTTGTTTTTTTGATCTGTTTATTCATATCATCTTCCTCTCCATTTCTCTCTTTCATGAATTCTAAACTTCTAAAGGCAATGAACCATTTAACATTAAAAAATTCTTAATCTCTCTTTCTTCAGGGTCCCATTCAGGAGCAACGTAAGGAGATTGCAGCAGTGATTCAGCGCTGCTATAAGAGATACAAGCAGGTAAGCGCAGCACACAGGTAGCATCAACCCTCAAGCATAACATACAGTTAAAAACTAGGGGTGGGGGGAAAAAAAAAACGATTTTTCGATTTCTCTCGATTCTCTCTAGAACGATTCGGTCTCGATTCAGAAAAGTTAATAATCGGAATAAAAAAATAAAAAAAGGTCTGATATTTGCTCGCTCGCGGAGCGTGAACTTCCTCGCTCGCGAGGTTAGTCTCGAAGGTGTTTTCTACGCGCCCGCTGTTTTTATTTTTGACAGTAAGGGGCGGAGCCAGTCACCATGGTCTCTACACCTGATTGGTTACAAACCCCGTCTTTGGATTGGCTGGAGTGATGCATCCACACAACTATAGAAGCCCATTTCCGCACTAATGTAAGGGGATAAAAAGTCGAAATTATGAGATAAAACGTTGACGTAGATGACAACCAGCTACAACCATCATTTACCATCATTACCGGCACATTAAGAGCAATGCGTCCAGCTCGCAGACCGGTCCGTCAGTTTGAATCTGAATATCTTGCCAACTTTACCGAACTATGAAGGAGCCTGCGCATATCTTACCTCATTATTTTGATTTTCGAAAAAGTCGATCCGTATTGAAAGTTTGCAAGATATTCACAGATTTGGACTTTTTTCCGGTATTTTACAAATACGGACCGGTCTGAGACTAAGACCAGCTTTTTCTTCATTTAAAAGAAAAATGAATCTGTTTAATATTTTTTTTACATAGGCTACTTCCATATTGTGTTGAAATGCAAGCTGCATTGGTTCTTGCATTGTTGATAGAAAATCATATTTGTGACAAAGATTTTTTTTCTCTTATAAAAAATTAGAGAAGGTAATTCATCTGTTGATTTTCTTTAATTATCAAATAAAGTAGGAAGTGATTAGCAACCTCTGAGTAGCAAACTCAGATTTGAGAAAATTTAGAAAATCGAGATGCATCGATAATCGTTTTATCAGTTTAGAATCGATAATCTGTTTAGAATCGAATCGTTGACCTCTGAATCGGAATCGAATCGTGAGGTGCCAAGAGATTCCCACCCCTATTAAGAACTGTATTAAATATACATAAATAATTGCATTAATGGATGTATTCCCTTCATAATTCATTCATACTGATATGTTATAAAGGAATCTATGATATCTGCTAAAATCAAATTGGACATTCATTTATGAGAAACTGACAATAATAATGTGGCTTGTCCACATCCTGTCCTACAGTTTCTTATTTTGATGGTACTAACTTTGTAATAGCTCCAATGAAACAGCTTATAATGAACACATACAGATTAGACATGTAACTTGCGACCCCACATTGTTGTTCACATTATGAGTTGTGCGTATGAGTTGAGTTTCCTCCCGACGTCATTGATAAGGGACATTTACTAACAAAACTGTGTACATGCCCTTAAGCTGTGATACATGTGTGGGTCATGATCTGAGGTAGAAGGAAATATTTATAGCCACAATATTATTTAAAAAATGAAGAAAGAAAAGACAATACAGTAGATGTGTATTTGGGACTAAACGCAGAAAAGGCACATATCTTCTGATGAAATGGATCTTCTCTCTCAGTATGCACTTTATAAGAGGATGACCCTGGCAGCCATCCTGATCCAGAGTCGTTTCCGGAGTTTCTATGAGCAGAGGAAGTTCCAACAAAGTCGAAGAGCAGCGGTCCTCATCCAGCAATACTACCGCTCCTATAGACACTCCCTTGGGTAATTCATACACTCTCACACACAAAGGGCATAATCATGCAAAGTATTGTTTCTTACTCCTGTGTCTTCCCATACAGCAGCCTCCTGACAAAAAAACAGAACCAGGCTGCTCGCAAGATCCTGAGATTCCTGCTCCGATGCCGCCACAGGTGAGCCCTTATCTCCTCACACACTCTTCCACACCACTGCTTAGTGCACACATCCAAACCTGCACATACTGACGGCCCACTGCTGTTCATGCGCTCTCTGCGTTGGTGCTAATAGTTGTTTTACTGTTCCTGTGAAGCCCCTTGATGGACGCCAGACCGCTGAAACGGGTGAGTTTTCACACTTTCTTCCTTCTTTCCCTCCCTCCTGGTGGCTGATGCCTGTTTGCATGTCAACAGAGCGAGGGGGAGAGGAGATCCTGGATTATCATCCTTCCCTTTTGCTCTCTCTCGCTCTCTCTCTCTCTCCCCTCTTGTCTCCCTATCTCCCAGTCTCTCTCTCTCTTTGTCTCTGTCTCTCTCCAATGACTGCTAAATGATGTCAGTACACAGCAAATTTCAGAGAGTTAAATTGACTCTGAGATTAAATTTTGACTCTAACTCTGGTGTTTATATTGTCCCAATCTTGTCAGTGTTAAATCAACACTCAACGAAGTGTTAACAATTTAACTCGGAATAAGTGTCAAAAATAAATCTACTCAGTGTTAAAAATGGTAAATGGCCTGTATTTGTACCTGTAGCGCTTTTCTAGTCTTCTGACCACTCAAAGCGCTTTAACACTACATGACATCATTCACCCATTCACACCCATTCATACACTGATGACAGGAGAACCATACACAGTGACACCTGCCATCAGTAACTCAAAGTAACATTCACACACTGTAGTCGCAGCTACAGGAGCAATGTTGGGTTAAGTGTCTTGCCTAACGACACAACGACATGCGGGTTAGCCGGGCCTGGGATCGAACCGACAACCCTCTGATTGGAGGACGACCGTGCTCCCCACTCACCCACAGTCGCCCCTGAACGCTCAACACTCAACACTTTTGCCTAACACCGGAAAATTAACTTTTGCTGTGTACTTCTGCATGATTGAATGACACATAGATAGAGGAGCTATTCTTGCATATGGTGTTTATTCTGATTGACATCACTCTGGGACTCAGGGAATACAGAATGTGTGTGCACCAAGCTGAATATATTTGCCTGTTGAACCAAGTATGACCTTTAGATGGAGCGGAAAACACATGCACAAATACAAACTTTCAGACACAAATATTACGCTGAGCTTGTCTCTATGTGTGTTTTTTTTCCCAGGGTGAAAGAGCAGAGAAAGGCCAAGGGTCCTGAGAGCCCACCTCTAGGCCCACATGCAAAGCCCCCTCAGCCTGTGAGCAATCTATAAACCCAACCTGCCCTCCATCTTCTTCCTTTATTCCATCCTCCCAAAAACTCGTTCCATTTTCCATCCCTAAACCCCTCTCCTGTCCTTTCCATTTCTGCCCTTTCCTTCTTTCTCATCCTATCTTCCTTCTTCTTTCAAGAGGGCAAAAAACTCTTCCCAGACAGACTGAGGACAGGAAAGGTGTCCATCATGGCAGCTCAGACAGACAGACTGCTGGGTAGAGTCAAGGGACCTGGCTCCACCCACAGCACTGATCCTCCTCCAGTTTCACTGGGAGGCCATCACATTAACCTCATGGCATTCTTTGCACTCCTCATGGGTATGTTTCTTTGCAAGAGCAAGTCGACGAGTCAGACAAGAGGGCACAAGGAAGCGCCTGGCGACGACATCCTGACTTTCATGGCAGCGTCTGGACATGCTGGCTCAAGATAAAAGCTACTTTGACATGCATAAAATATACAAACTCTGTTGGATTTTGTATCCAAACAGTAATCCATGAAAGAATAAGACAACATAAACCAAAAAACTCATTTCTGTGTTGCATTTGCATGCAAGGTTTTTTCGCTTATTCCTCCTCTCCATCACCCTGAAGAGCTATAGTGGCAAATCATTCTGCTAATTCAGTATATCACAGTATCCCCAAACACTCTGACTCACAGGCTTACAAACCTATTAATCTGTCACCCGATCAAAGAGGAGGAACTGCACTTGAATGTAAGAGGGGCATTGTTAGATAAGGGTTGGGGTCTGAAAAACGATGTCTTAATTTGTTACATGGACTTTGTATGGAGTCGTTCTCAGAGGCAGCACTTTGCTCGCCTGAAGTGGTGTGTCCGTGTTTGTTCAATGCATGTGTTTGAGCTATGAGCTCCTGCATGCTTGCCAAACTGCTTTAGTGTTGTTTATTTTGTATTTCTATGTGTAGTTGTGTCTCACTTATGTCCTCATCGACTTATCCTTGCCCTGTGTAATGTGAACTGTGTAAGGACAAATGACTTATTTTGGGTGCTTTTTTTAAACTTTATTTATTTATTTACGGTTCTGATTATTTATTTAATTGGCTCAAGAGTGGTTCAGCTTGAGACTGGTTTTCCCCCCTTGTGTGGTAAAAAATGACATGTCCCAATGGTTAAATGTCTCTTGTTAGTTTGTTCTTTGCGTGAACCGCTAAATCCTAACTGCGGTTTTGAAGAGAGAGTCACATACCATTGCCTTGACTTCTTGACTCTGAGAGGTCTCTATGCTTGCTCTGTACAGGACATGGGTCATATATCTGCCCCTATACAGGGCATTGGTCCCCATACTAGCCTATATGGGCAATCAAATCCATATTTTGGACTATTGCATATTCCTGTATATAAACTGACGAGGTAAGGGAATACAAGGACCCTGACACTTTTTCATAAGAGGACTGTATTTAAGATTATAAATTATTTTACTCCCATAATGAGAATTTAAGACAGACCTGGGTACACAGGATGGCTGTATTGCTTGTAAATATTGTAAATATTACAAACGGAATAATGTGCATGAGATTTAAGACAAAAAGAAGATGTTAGTGGCTATGGACTGTGAGAGGATTTTAACTGCTTCACTTTAAGAGTATCCAGTATAAGTGTTACTGAAAAGAACATTTTGTTAAAGCATGCAACTGAAAAATCTAATGTTAGAATTGTAAGTGGAAAAAGAAACAACAATCTTTCAGACAAAACATTTACATTTTGTGCTTTTGTTTCTTGGCTAGCAAAAATTAAACCCTTTTTGCCAGTAGTGCCAATTATTATGAATGCTATTTTGCGGAACAATATGTTATGTTGGCGAACCCAACACCCAAAAGATATCAGTAAGATCCACAGAGGCAATAAACCTCGTAAGAGATCTCGTACTAGCATAGACAAGCTTTGGGGTTTGTCTAAGGCAAACGTAAGTGTAGACAACCATGATGCAAGTATGAAAATGATACTAATGGTGATGATAATGGTCATTGTAATATGAGTACAATGAATGATGACCCAAAACGGGGAGAGGGCGCTACATTATTTAACAATGTGGTTGTGCTTCAGCAACATATTAGCTTTTATTAAGACCATTAGTCACACCTGCAGAGGACCCAGCCTGGCCTCAAGTCAAAGCTTTCCATCTTTAAACAGAATGTCTCCTTTCCCCGCTTTTATCATATCATTTGGTTATGTTTTCTTTTTCTCCCCATTTTCACTGCCATTATGATACAACATGTACTTTTGACTTCTGGAAAGCTCTGTTTAGAAAGTGCCTGCTCAATAACAGAAAAGTGCAAGCTAATATCAGGAAATATCTATTGTATGTCCTCCAAAAGGTTGCCAGTTACCTGTTTATTTTCCTAAATTGTGTGTTAAAAGTGAACTTGACAGTGTTTAACTTGATCTGAGTCTAAGTAAGAAGCTCTAATTTGTCAGTGGTATGAATGAATGCTCATGGCCTGATTGACTCTGTGTTTTGCTTTATGAGATAAACCAGTAATTACAGTATCACTTCATGCCCCACTTGTGTGTCAGTTTTGCAGAATTATAGGTATTATTATATTATAGGAAACCCATCAGCCTCTGTGTATGAAAGGCATTGTCACGAGTCTATTCAACATCCTGCTCGCTGTTGGGAAGATGATGTGTTTTCTCACAAGGACTCACTTTCTCTGTCATTCTTTAAAGGAATTATCTTGCAGCATTTAAACAAAAGCATTACCCGACAGTTTTTCAGAGGACAAAATAGCTGTCACTTCTTCATTTTCTTTCTCTCTCACACTTATGTGCGCGAACACACATTAACAGTACACAAATGTACACGTTCAGAAACAGCCACACGCTATCTCTCTGTACTTATGTCTTTGGGAACAAGTAAATCTCTCCCTTAGATTTTACTCAGGGTTGAAGATCAGAGGGATGGTATGTGGAGTGTGATGATTGCTGAAACAGAGTTGTACTTCTGCTGATGATCGTGTACATTTGTGTGTGCATATGTATATGTATGTATTTGTGTATGTTAAGGATACTCCAGCTGTTCATTCACTAACCTATAATTTTCAAATGTTCAATTCCTGTTCTTGATTGATGCACTCAAGTGTGATGCTTCATCAAGCTGCCTTTGCAGAAAATTTTCTACAAGAAACTCCAAATCCAGTATTTTATAGGATCTTGTTTGAAGATTATAGACTAAATTGAAGGCAAGTAATAGGTGTTATTTCTATTAAAATACGCACAGGATTCTTGATACAAATAGTTCTTAAATAACAAGTGGGCAATGGCCATACATCATCTCAATTGCCTTAAGTAAAAAAACAAAAGTCAAGGGATCGTATATTCACAATTGGACGGGCTCTGTTATGCGTGTTTAACATGTTTTCTGAATCTCCATCATACTGAGAGACAGCCACGGTAAGGACTGTCAGGAGCATTTGTGCTAACAAACATCCTCTTAAACTGCGCCCACTCTCACATCAGCACACTCCGGTCATAAAGAACACTGCTTCTGGCCTCCTTTTACATATAAATATATATTATATATATATAAACACACATACACACATACAGTCAGATATACACATAGGTCAGCAAATGCGCTCATCAGCACACAGAATACACATACACATGAAGCAGATCAATATGTTCATGTTTTTGGAGAGGATGGTGACTGTAAAAAGAGTATATAGAGTAGAAGAAGTTTAAAAAAATTATAACACTAAGAAAAATGCCATAGTAGACAACTGGTAGACATGCGCAGAGATGGCCTCTGTTCTCATAAATCTGCCTATAAATGAATGGCATAACCTTTCAGGCCTTGTTTTGAGAGGGTGTGGCCAAACACCACATTGCATGCTAGAATGGTAGACCGTCATAGATAATCTATGGTTAGACCTCTCCTCGCCTTCTTCTTATTTCACTCTCTCTCATTTCCTGCTGTATTCCCACCTTGCCTGCTATTGTGTTCTCCATGCCAATCTCAGTCTTTCATTCCTCATTTATTTTTTGTAGCCTAGTTTTTTATTTATTTGTTTTACAAACGTGCATGCACAAGCATCACTAAATTGTTGATGTTTTTAAAAGAATATTTTGTTGCTGAGGCCATGCAAAGTGTTTTGAATATTGCCCTTATATGTGGAAAATGTCTTCTGAATGCTTTACATAATTTCTGCTGTAAAATGAAATCAGAATAAAAAAGAAAATTTGCACTTTAACTTGCTGATTTTTACTGATATTTATTCCGTATGTGTTTATGAAGAGTACACTTTCTATATGTTTTATTGCTTTACTTTTTTCGTATTGTAAACATAATTCCCGGATCCATGGTAGTTCTACCCATCCTGACACAAAACAAAAATTTGCCCAAGAGGGCTTTACAATCTGTACACATAAGCCATGCTTGATCCCGGGAGCCTCAAATTGGCACAGGAAAAACTACCCCCCAAAAAATTGTAACAGGGAGGAAGAGAAGGATGAAATGTTATGGAGAACAACAAAGGGATTTTTCTCCCAGGAGGGACAGGTGTCATGTGTACATAATGAACAAAATACCAGAGTTAAAATACATTCGATGCATATGGTATTCATTACTTATAGTGAGAGTAGTAAGTTGCTTAATGATGTAAATATTACAAATACTAATAACAAACGCTTCAGTGGATACAGCGGGATGTAAAGAATGAAAGAATGAGTAATACTATTAGAAATGTGACTAATCATAATGATAACATATGACGTGTTAAGTCTTCGCTTGAAGGTCTTCCACAAGAAGCACACAAGATTGCACATTCTCTTCACAATTGCCACATTTTGGATTTCCCTAAAGACTAAATGTCTCCATATTCTGGTGTGCTAAGGTTTAAGCACCTTACTGACTAAAACCTGCGCAAATTGATAAGCTGGCCTATTTGTCCCAGGACGCTTGGAGCATTTAGGTCCTACTGGAAAATTACTGGTATTTCCTACGTTACGTCAGGGACAACTTCTTTTTTTTTTTACCGTAAACATGTCTTCCTTTTTCATGGACGCGTGAAAATGAGCCCTAATGCCGCTCGGCATAATCGTAATCTTTCGACAATGGGAAAATCATATAACAGTTGAGAATACAATTGTTTGACCACTAACACCACCTTGCGAGAAATTGAGCTCATCTCTGTGTGCATCTTCTGCCGAATTCCTGGTAATTACGGTAGTAACCGGAAATGCCGTACGGATCGCAGCTGATATAAAGACGTGGTTGTTCCGTGAATAAGTGGATTTTCTGCTCAAAGACAGGCGGTTTTAGAGTATAATTTATTATGTTTTTAATCAACAAATTGAGATGCTTTTAGCACTGAATTATTAGGTTTAGTATCGTAATGCAGCCTGGGTTTTCGTCTGAAAACTCTACACTGTAATGCCTTTTGCTGCTGCCCAGCTCTCCATCGACTGAGGAAACAATGCAGGCCTAGCTAGCATCCGACGTTAGCTAGCGGAGGCTAATAGCATAACGCTGGTCCAGCACACTGCGGTGGGATTTAAACCTTGGACTCTGAAGACCAGCTTTTCGACGCTGTAATAACATCCAATTCGGTATGTAATAACATTCTCTTAAATAACACGGCGTTTCCCCATGTAATCAATGCCATTAAACGTATAACGTTAACTGACTTTGAAGATACGACACTAATCCTCTATCGTCATATTTTCGTTAAGTTAGGCTAACGCTTGTTAGCATTAGCGAGTTAAGTAATGTTGTTGATTGGATCCCAAAGTCTGCTCGTATCACGGGTTACAGATGTTGATGTTCATCGGAGGGATGATCAAAGGTCTTTTTACATTCTCCATTGTGCGTTAGAAAAGAGTAATGTTAGCGATCAGCTTGAATTCCAACATGGTCTCCAACATTCGCCCTCGGTCACCATTTCTGCAGTTAACGAACGTTCAACTTCATGTTCGGAAGCGTCGAAACCCGCGTTGAATTATACTTACTCGTTCAAGTGGAACGTTTAGTTCACCCGGTAATCAGACACATTAAATGCAGGTCCTACATATTTCGATCATTGGTTGTCATTGCACCGGAATACTGTCGGTGCAGCCTAATAGTGGCTAATGTATAGATTTATGTTTCTGTTTTTGCTGCTTGCACGGTTTCTTTGAAACATAACATCGGAAGATTAATGATAGAAACGTACGTTACAATCTTGATGGATCTTGCCAATGCGTAAACCTCTCACATTGGAATATATATGCTCAGCTCTTATCACTCTGTGCACATGCTCCCCTTTAGATAATTATTGTTTTTTGTCCTGCAAATTATGGATAGTACATAATGTTTTTGTGTATACAGCATTTTTCTTTGTTGATACCCAGACGCTGGTGATGTCGGCCTATGATTATGTTATAACCAGTTTATTATAACGTTAATACTTTGCGTTGAGGGATGCCCTCCTTCAAATAATACCTTTTCAGTTTCTTAAAATATATAGTGTAAATGGAGTGCACGTTTATTATTATTATTTTCATGTTTTTTTATTTTTATTTAATTATTTCGCTCAGCTGCCTATTTATTAGGGACAGCTAACTGAACCTATAGTAGTCCTATTATAGAATAATACAAAACCTTGCTAATAACCCTACCTCCATGAGTAAGTAAATGTTCTGTTCACAGCGGTCTGCAGCTTACTATTTTCGTAATCAATTTAACTGCTAATTTACGATAAATACATTTTTTTGTTGTTAATTGTAAATTTTCACGTTGAGTTGAAATGGGGATGTTTTGCATAAACTATGACTAAAGCAGTTCATTTAGTTTTTGTTGCAGTCTATTCATTGTTTTAGCTTCAGTCCTGTTTTCATTGATTTTTTTTGTTTTTTGTTCAACTCAACTAATTTTGCAAACGTTAGTACAAAATAGGAACCTAAACCACCGTAATAACTTCTTGAAACAAAGAATTTATTACGGTGGTTTAGGTTCCTATTTTGTTATCTGTGTGTAATCCTCATCACTCTCTTTTCAGCAATGAGCTCTCAGCTGCAGGTCTTCTCTCCTCCCTCCATCTCCTCCAGTGCCTTTTGCCGCGTTAAGAAGGTGAAGGTGGAGAGTAGTGTTTGGGATGTGTCCACCACCGAAGCTTACAGCTCCATCGCAGGCCAGTCGGCATACGCCTTTACGCCAGCCATGGCCGTGGCACCCTTTGCACCATCCCTGGTCTTCCCTCCGGCAGCTCCGGGCTCCAGAGGTCAAGTGGTGGTGCGGGCAGCCGATAGCACTGGCAGTCTTCCGCGTGGATCCAGCCGACGTGTGGCGGAGCAGGCAACGTCCTCCTCCTACACTCACACCGAGACGTCCTCTGAAACAAGGGGGCACCGGCACGGGCAGAAAAGAAAGATTGAGGAAACCACTGAAGGCAGCGGCAGTGGGTGTGGCAGTGTCCAAATTTTGGAGGAGCTTTCGGCCCCTGCAGCAACTTACTCCACCCGCACTGGTGGTGGCGGAGGAGGCACGGGCCAATCAATACCCCACTCGGCTCCAACCACCAAGAGCAGCAGCTCCAATGGGGAAGGGGATTATCAGCTTGTGCAGCACGAGATCTTATGCTCTGTGTCCTGTAGCTATGAAGTGCTGGAGTTTTTAGGAAGGGGCACGTTTGGACAAGTGGCCAAGTGCTGGAAGAGGGGCACCAATGAGATTGTTGCTATCAAGATTCTGAAAAACCATCCTTCGTATGCTCGCCAGGGCCAAATTGAGGTAATCAAACATAATTTTGTGTATCCGATACATTCAGTGGTTCTTGCTATCTATTGTTTAGATAATCAAGTATTCTGATTACTCATTAAAATTGGTTAATTGGTTCCCTTTTTAGAAAAGATTTAAAATAATATAGTAACCATCACAACTTAGCCTTAAACCTAACCTAAATTCAATATTTAATTATAAAAAATAACTTTCCATTAAATGTTTTAACTATGATGCATGTAAGCTGCCAAAACCTACTACTCCCTCTCTAATGAGTATTTTATATTACTCTAAACAACTTGGTAAAAACATGGTAGCCATCGCCCTATACTAATCTTTAATGAATAGAGCTTGCATAAATCATAGCGTAGCCTTGTTTTTAATCCAAGCAGTACCCTGCTTCCCACAGGCTTTAACTACCTCTAGTCTCTCTGTATCTCTGTAGCCATGCAACCATCCAACAAGCACTTCTGAACACGTGCAATGGCAGCTTAACATCAGAGCTAAGTTGTTACCACTACTTCCCCCAGGGTCAGAAGGTACCTTTTTGGGGGAAATGTTCAGTTACACTATAAAACCATTGTCATGGTGTAATATATGGAAAACCATTTCCCTAGAAATGGGATCTTGACAGGTGGCTCTTTTGTTGTGCAAATGCTGTTCCTTCCTCCCAGTATACTGCCTACAGGCACTAAATGTTTTAGTGGTAAGGAGTACCGGGGTCAAACGTTAGTGTGATTAACGGAGCTCCACTTTACCGGCGGGCGCCTCACGATTGCTACCAGGTTGTGATTGTTTAGGGCTGTTAAATTGATCACTATCAACCACTATGCAACAAACTTCAACTACTGACCTTTGTACAGCTGCATTATTTTACATTCCCTTGAAATAATATTAATAAACCATCTTTACTAGACAAGTTACACGGGTTGTGTGTTTCCACCAGGTGGGTATCCTGAACCGACTGAGTGCAGAGAACGCTGATGAGTACAACTTTGTGCGTTCATACGAATGCTTCCAGCACAAGGGTCACACCTGCCTTGTGTTTGAGATGCTGGAGCAGAACCTGTACGACTTTCTCAAGCACAGCAAGTTCAGCCCGCTCCCCCTGAGGCACATCAGACCCATCCTACAGCAGGTATGCAAATGTTTTGTCAGGCATTCAGAACTCTTTTTTTAACCTACCAAAGTATTACTTTTATGTTGTCCTTGTTATAATTAAGTAGTTGTTTTTAAGATGAATATTTGCGTATTTGTATCTTTAGGTGGCTACAGCACTGATGAAGCTGAAGAGCCTTGGGCTGATTCATGCCGACCTGAAGCCCGAGAACATCATGCTGGTCGACCCCCACAGGCAGCCCTACAGGGTGAAGGTCATTGACTTTGGCTCAGCAAGTCATGTGTCAAAAGCTGTCTGCTCAACCTACTTACAGTCTCGCTACTACAGGTAAGTGCAACACATCCAGCTGCGTCTAGTCTTTTTTTGTAACCCTTTTG